GAGGAGAGGAGGCCCTGAGGGGGAATGTGACTGATGGTCCTCCAAGACGTGCATGTTCGGAATGAGCTGACCTTGAGACTCCGTGCTACCCCACCCCCTCTCTAAACTGTAAAACTACCCACCCTTTCCCTGAGACATAGCGAGTCGGGTCGGAGGGGGTGGATGCGAGGTCCACGTGACCAGAGAGTAACTGTCACGTGATATCATGTGACAGTGGAAGGACACACCACGTGGGTATCACGTGCCAGTATCTGTTGGGCGAGCCTCGGAGGAGCAAAGGTGGGTGAGGCGGACTCGCAAGATCCGTCTGGTCAATCGGGCTCACCTCAGAGTCGAGGGTCTCGCGGTGCCGTGACAGCCGACTTCGGATGACTAAATTCCAACGAGCCCGCCTCCGGCCATCTCGAGGTGGTCCTAGGATGGTCCTATCTCCATAGATAGCCAGAGTTGGTAGGGGGCACTATGCCATCTACCCTACCCCACCTCACAGTCCTCCAAACATCATCGGTGGAATATGGATTTGACCCGTAGTCTGATGAACTCAGAGTCACACCCCTATCTGGAGCCTTCGAAGGACCCGTGGTCGTGAAGGAACCACAAAGACACGGTACCCTGACACTCCCCTGAGGAAGCAACTCCCCCACCCTATTCACCCACACAAAGTGATCCCACACCTCTCTTAGAAATACCCCTACCCCTACAACACCACTCCATTCATATGAACAAGTACCCCTTGTCGATAGTTATGGGAGTACCCCTACCTACATTTTTAGACCCCCACCCTGTTTGTCGTGTAACAATCTATGCCCTCGTTCCACCCCGACAGCATTATTAAATAATGCTGCACACGTGGGGTCAGCAGAAGGCGGGAGGCGGGAGAGCAGGACAAGCTCGAGGGGAGCTCGGACTAGTCGAGCCTCGCTATGCAGCAGCAGAGTGGTAGCGTGTCAATGCCGTTCCAACAGATCCTGTGCGACTATCTTGAGAACTACAACATCAGCAAGGAGAAAGGAGGCTGAGTTAGGGGGGTCGGTACGAGAGTAGATCGATAGAGGCCTATCATGCCAAGCCAAGCCTCGTGTCACTCCATCGGCAGAGTGAGGACGAGGAATCAAAGTGGACTCTAAAGTCCGCGAGAGTAGAGAGGAGAAAACACATCACAAGAGTCGAGAGAGTGAAGAATGACAACAATGCTTTCTTGTTGTTTGTCTCACAAGCTGATTGCATCTTTTTGGTTGTATCTACAGGTCTTGGTTATCCGTTTAAGTCCAAGTCCGCGTGGTGAGCACCACAACAGCACACTCTCAAGCATGAAAGACTCAAGTTGGCAGCCATGGTTTGTGCTGGCAGTCTTGGTCGTGATGTTCTTCTTTCTTGTAAAAGGCGCCAAGACACCAGAGACGATCGCCTTCATCGCCATGTGTGTGGTGTGGAATGCAGGAGTCATCACGACCAAGGAGGCCTTGTCTGGCTTCTCTAACTCAGGCATGCTTGCCGTCGGCGTCCTGTTCGTGGTCGTCCAGGCCATCGAGCGTTCGCAGCTTGCGCCATGGGCAGCGAAGCATGTGTTTGGAATGAGAACAGGTGAGCTGCTCGGTCCTTGCCTATCACTGCTGAGATCAGCCCTGTGTATCCCTCGCTTCTTCTTCTGCCCTCCTGCTTGCTCTCTGCCTCTCTTCTTTTCTGCTTTCCTCCTACTCGGCCTCCGTCCTCCTTTTGGATCCCTCTTGTGTTTTCCCATCGCCCCTCACCCACTCAACGATGCTCATGCTGGCCACCGTCCCATCCGCTGGCTCGCCTGCCGCCTCCACTGGGCAAGGGCTCCCTCCTTACTCTACCTTGCAGGCATTCGGTCTGGCTTGTTCAGACTCTGCACGATGTGCTTCTTTCTATCTGCCTTCCTCAACAACACCCCAGTCGTTGCCCTGCTCACTCCCATCACGAGAGACTGGGCCCGCACCCGCGGCTTCCCTCCTTCCCTCTTCCTCATCCCCTTGAGCTTCAGCACCATCCTCGGAGGCCTCCTCACCATCATAGGGACTTCGACGAACCTGGTGGTCGCAGCCCTGGCAGAGAACTTCGGGCTGGAGAAACCTGGCTTCTTCGAGATCGGATACATCGGGCTGCCGACGGGCATCCTGGGGGTGATTTATCTGGTGCTGTTCGGGCCGTTGCTGCTGCCAAGAGCTGGAGGAATGTTCAGGTACATGCAGGACAAGAACAAAGAGCTTATCACTGAGGTGACGCTGACTGGGGAGTTTCCCTTCGTCGGGCAGCCAGTCGACAAGGCGCTTGCCAACCTCTCCATCCATCGAGACGCTCTGATCAAGATCAGGAGGGGCATCATGGGGCAGTTTGCGTCCTTGGGCGCGGAGCCCCATCCTCCAAGCGAGGGTCCAGCAGCACCGGAGGAGGGAGGAGGGGAGGAGGGAGGGAGCCGAGCCGTGCCCCGCCGCTCCAACTGGATCGACATCTACCCTGTGCCGCAGAACGAGCTCCTGCAGGCGGGAGACACGCTGTTCTTCAGCGGGGGGAGGACAACGATGATGAAGCTGCATGCGGAGGCCTACCGCGGGCTGGTCATCCTCAAGGGAGACGTTCCTGACCTGGCGCAGGATGGGATGAAATTCTTCGAGGTTGTGCTGAGCAACAGGAACGCCTTTGTGGGAGATGTCGTAGCGCACTCGAGCTTCAGTCAGTTCTACGGCTGCAGCATCCTGGCGCTCAGGAGGAAAGGTCGGTCATCCCAGCCCATCTCCACCTTAGAGAGCAGGCCCCAGGACGAGAACGCCAGCAGGACCAGCCTCAGCAACCGCAGGAGGATCTACGGGGAGCTCGAGCACGAGAGGGAAGCGAGCTTGCCTCTCGACGACATCACTGTAGAGCATGCTGACGCCAGCATGGGCGACGACGAGGACGCAGAGGTTCACTGCCGCGAGCCCCCGCTGGAGGTGTCGGAGAGTCACCTCAACGCCGGAGACGTCATCCTCGCCTTGGCTCCAGCAGAGTTCGCGGAGAAATGGACTGACTCCGACGACTTCCTCATGATCACCGAGCTAGGAGCCGTTGCTGCTCCTCCTACTCCCTTCGACTACTTCCCGCTCCTCGTCTTCATCGGCATGGTCGTCTGGGTAGTCGCCGCCAGCCCCAACGTCGACATGGTCCAGTCGGCCATGACGGCGGCGGCGCTGCTGGTAGCGGGAGGATGGATCGACGCCAAGAAGGCGGCCGGGTACGTGGCATGGGAACTGATGCTCCTGATCGGGTCCATGCTGGGAATGAGCACGGCGATCACCAGCTCGGGTCTAGCTGACATAGTGGGGACGGCGATGAAGAACGCGGGGATGAGTCCCTTGGGGAGTCTGTTCCTGGTGTATGGGATCACCACAGTCATGACGGAGATTACCACTAACAACGCTGCCGCCGGGCTGATCTTTCCTCTTGCCATCGACGTGGCTTACAAGCTCGGCATCTCGTACAAGCCCTTCATGTTCACAGTGATGTCGGCAGCGTCGGCGAGCTTCATCACGCCCATCGGATATCAGACCAATGTGAGCTCGACTCGTCTGACCTTGTTGCTTGTCTTGTCTTGGTTGCTGTGGACGATGCGAGTTGATGGGTTTGCAAGTGCTTGCACGTGTTGCTTGGATTGCTCTGACCCTGGTCTCACTCTGTCTGTGTGCTCTTGCTTTCGATATAATGCTCCTTGGCTTCAGCTCCCTGCTTTCTTCCTCCTCCTCCTCCTCCTCCTCATCTCCCTGCTCCTGCTCCTGCTCCTGCTCCTGCTCCTGCTCCTGCTCCTGCTCCTGCTCCTTGCTCCTGCTCCTGCTCCTGCTCCTCCTCTGAGACCTTGTGCTTCCCTCAATGCTGTCTGCTGTCTGTACCTCCTCAATCTCTGTCTGACGACGAGTTCAGATGATGGTCTGGGGTCCTGGCGGCTACACTTACTTCGACTTCATGAAGATCGGAATCCCTCTCAATATCCTTCACATGATAACCACTTGCCTGCTGGTCAATCAGTTCTGGAAGTTCGACGAGGCTATTCAGTGGCCTGCCAGCATTCACAAGTGAGAGCAGGAGGAGGAGAGAAGAAACGGGTTGCTACGATGTGTTGTGACTGCAGTGGGAACATCTCGACAGAGTCCTTGTCAAGCACATAACAAGCTTACAAGACGAGATCTCTTGCGAGACGCGTCATCAAGATCTGACGATGTGAACGATTCCCTTGCACTTTTGGGTTCAAAGGGGAGCTGTATAACGCGAAGCACTTTGCATTAAAGTCTATTATCGTGTCGATCATGTATTCCATCAAAGAAACGTCAGCAAAGATGCCGTGTGAAGGACAACTTCCAATCTCAATCAACACGCAGAACCGACTCATGTTTTCTCAGGAGTTTTACGCAAGATCGGAAAATTATCTAACAGAACAGATGAGAGATCGTGATAAAATCTCTAATACTGCTGGTTGCTGCGGCGCATCAAACTGCGGGTGCGTCTCGACTCCTTGTCCTTGCCTGCAACCGAGTTTCTCAACGGCTAGTCAAACTCTGAGTTGTCAAGACTTACGGATCTTCTTCTCATTGTTGGTCTCGAAGGTGCGACGGCGCTTGAGCTCAACGAGATGTCCAGACTTTGCGACAGCGATCTGAGAACAAAACGTCAGTGACGACAAACACACGACGACGACGGAGGATCGAGTTGCAGGTGGTGTGGGTTGTGGAATAAACACAAAGAGATGGTGATGAAGAAAACAGAGAACACAAGGATCGATCTGCAAAGGATCTACAGTCGGCGAGCCACATACATCAGGCCACATGGAATGGAGGGCAACAAGACCAGATGATTACAACACATCAACTGTGGAAAGAAATGTACAGAACAACTCAAACTTCTCCAACAGAACACAACAATTCAAACTACTCGATTGCATCTATTCTGTCGTTCTTCACGCTCATGACAGGGAAGCACAGAGAAGAGACATCGGCAAAACTCTCACCTTGAATCGCCTCATGGCAGACTCGATCGGCTCTCCCTCGTTGACCGCAACCTTGATGTCAACCATCGTTGGCGCCACGGTGACCTTCAAAACGGCATCGTCACGTTATCAAGTCAGGTGATGTGGAAGTTGTGCGAGGTACAAAACATACAGATCAGTCACAATGCACGATGAGCTTGTGATAGTCACTCGGATACAAGATCAGCATGAAAGGAAACACCATAAAGACAACAAACACAATCAACTTGGTGGAAAAGAAGTTGTTACAACAACACCTTCCCGGATAGCAAGAATAAAAGACATACGGACAGACACTCAAAGACGGACAGGGGCAACACAACATCAGGCCACGGATAGCGATGGCTGCGAACTTACAGGACGGCGGGTAGACAGCGCAGGAGCAGAGAAGCGGGCAGCTGGGGTGACCAACGAGGAGGAGGCAGGGGTGAAAAAGCCATCAACTCCGGTCATGAGGGCCTGTCATTTTGCGTTACCTCCTTGCAAGAGTTTCATGGCAGCATTTGAAGAAGCCAACGAGATAGAGACAGGAAAGCGCGGCGAAACTTGAGATGAAGATGAGAAGGACAGGATGGAGAGAAGAAGAATAGGAAGTATGGGTTGTCAAATCGAGAATTCTCATGCTTTGGTGACGGACAAATGCGCGGCCCCTCTTTTTGAGACATGTGAAGAAAACAGAGTGAAAGAAGCGCTTCGTCATGGTTGACTTCCTCCTCTTGTTTCTCTCATCATGTTGAGTGGAGATTATCGTCTTCGTCCTCCATTATCCCCTCTCCTCACCATGGAAGCGGCGGCCGCGATCGTAAGAGCGCGAGTGAGCATGGCCTTGGATGGTACAGGTGCGACAGGAAGCGAAAGAAAGGGGGTGGGGGTACTGGGGTGGTATGGGAATGATGGGGTACAATGAACGGGTGGTGAATGGGATTTGGAGGGTAGGGTAAAGGGAAGGTCAGTCCATAGGTAGGGGTGGTTGGAAGATGGGGGGGTAGTGGGGAGAAATGAAGTTGAGATGTGAGCCAGAAGACCGGGGGCCATGCTCGACGCATCTAGAACTAGGGAATGAGGGGGTGGGGGTGGGAGAAATGGTTGACAGGGGTGGGGGTAGAATTAAGTAGGAGGGGTGGGCTATGGAGGGTTTCCAAGGGGGTAGTTGAAAAGGAGGTGGTGGTACTTGGGGTACATGATCCGTTGAAAGGGGGGTGGGTAGTGCGGCCTCAGCATGCGTGACCAACTATTACTCAATATTTCTTTTTCGGAAGTTGAAAATACCTTGTACATTTTGAAATTTCAATGTCAATT